AAAAAAAAAAAAAAAAGGTAGCATTCAAATCTGAGAATGTGTTGACATGGAAACTCCCAGCACTACTTGGTCAGAGTACAAATTGATGCACCCTCTCAGAAAGGAATTGGAAGGCCAGATGAAGGAACTTTAGTCATGTTCAAGGCCTTAGACTTAGTACTCCCATTTCTAGGAACCTGTCCCAAGGAAATAACGATGAATGTAAACATTAATTTATGTAAAGAATGGCTGTCGAAGAGTTTTGCATAAGCACGCAAATTGAAAACAACCTAAATCTCCAATGATGTATAGCTGGTTGATGAATTATAATATGTCCACACAGGGGCATCTTTTGAAATGATTTTCATTAAAATCAAGTTTTCTGCATGAACCTGCCCCTGTGAGCCTCCCAGCCAGAGCAGGAACTTCCAAACTGATGCCTAAGAACTGATTGTGCAGGAAGAAGCATGAGTCTGTGTGTACATATAGTAAGAAATAAATATAAAATTGCTAACTATAAAAGAATTTTTTAAAAAATATTAGATGGAATGCAATACTAAAATAATGCTCATTGAAGAGAAAACATAAAACTATTCATAGTAGAATTCCAATTTTGTTGACTAGATATGTGTATGGATGAATAGGAAAAGGAAAGATATAAGAGGTAGGGGTGTCCAACCTATGGCCGTGGGCTGCGTGCAGATTACTGGAAGACTGTCTTGCTTATCTGTGGTCTCAGATATCATGAAAAGTATGTATGAACCTTTCCTTTGTTCATCAGCTTCAGTTAGTGTTTGTGTATTTAATGTATGGCCTGAGATCATTCTTATTCTTCCAATATGCAGCAGAAAAGCAAAAAGGTTGGACACCCCTGAATCACAGTTGTGATAATAGTGGTTAAATGAATGGGTGACTATAGGCGATTTTTTTTAATCTTTACATAGTTCTATGTTTTTCTAAATTTCTCCAGGAAGCCTCTGTTACTTTTTAAGAATGGTAGTAAAAGGTATGTAGTATATACATTAAAATGCATGTAATACACACATAAAATTTAGCATTTTAATCATGTTCAGGGGCAGCAACCTTACTCACAGTTTTATGCAGCCATCACCATAATCCAGCCACAGAACTCTTCTCATCCTGCAAAACTGAAACTCTCTCCCCATGAAACAACAATTCTCCCTTCCCCCTCCTCTAGCTCCTGACAGACACCTACTTTCTGCCTCCACGGATCTGACCGCTCTAAGTACCTCCTGTGAGTTGACTCCTGCAGTATTTCTCCTTTTGTGGCTGCCTTATTTCACTAGCATAAAGTCCTCCAGGTTCACCCATGTTGTAGCATGAGTCCAAAGACTGAATCATATCCCACTGAGTGTCTGCACTGCATTGTGCTTATACGGCTATCTGCCAATGGATGCTCGGGCTGTTCCCCTCTTCTGTGAATACTTCTGCTCTGCCTCTGTTGCTTTCACAACCAGAAAATACAAACAACAATAAAACCAAGCCACCTCCACACACAGGGAATGCCCAGTCTGTGCTGATGACTGACTCTCTCCTCCTTCCCCTATATCCTTGAACTCAACGTCGTCTCCTACCTAGAACCAGGGCCTCCTCCTTCCCTCGATGCTCCTGCTTGTCCTCCCCAGACAGGGAGTCGATGACGGCTTGGAGCAGGTTGCAGACAGCCAGGGACATCTCCTCATTCTCCACGGACATGAGGCTGCAGATTCGGTCTATCCGCACAGCATGCAGAATCGCTGTGGCCTAGACCCCCAGCGAGAACCACAGTCAACCTCCCTGCCCCCTCTTCCAGCTGCCATGCTGGTTACAGGGTGTGTGATAACCATCCCCATCCCACCCTATGTAGTAGGGAAATAGTCCAAGAGGTTGATGCCTCATGGGGCCCCCAGTCCTGGAAAGCTCTTGACACAGCCATGTCCCTTTCCAGAGATCACAGCTGTGCAGCCCCAGAGAGTGGCCACTCGCCCCCTGGAGCTGTCGGGCACTTGTAATGTGGCAAGACCACATTTAAATGTGCTGTGAGTGTAAAATACACAAGGGGTTTCAAAGACTTAGCCTGGAAAATAGGAAATATAATAGCCTTTGCATTCACCTCTTCCCCAGAAACCACTTTCAATAACCTAATCTTTGCTGAACTAGAACCCATTTCCAGTTCAGAGATAAAAAGAACTGGAGTACTCTTTAGAGTAGACTTTGTATCAAATTCTCTTGATGCCGGCCACAGGCCCGACCACGGGAATCACCCTCCAGATACTTGGACCAGCAGCCATCCTCTCCATCTGCCCCAGAGCCAGGCCCTCACCCTGGCTCGGTGGCCACTGCACATGCCAGACAGGGTCCGCACTGCAGCCAGCACCAGCTCAGGCCTCTTAGTGTCCAGAAGCTGCAGCAGCAGGGCCACCCCGTTGCCCTGGAAGATCTTCTCGGCCCCTGCTTCTTCACGGCCTAGGACAATGAGGTTGTTGGCAGCCTAAGGAAGGAAGAGGCAAGGTGGGTCATAGGGATGATATGGCCACCCAGGCTTTGACCATGGACCAAATACAAGAGCCGGTGCAAAGACTGGAGCTTGAGAACATCTGTCTGTTCTCTCACTTTATAATCCTCCTCCTCCTGGAAACTCCCAGGACATAATACAAAAGTAGAAACAAAGCTACTGGCATAAAAACTAAGTTGATATAACATATGGCAGCCATTAAAATCATAAACAAAGAAGGCCAGGCAGGGTGGCTCTTGCCTATAATCCTAACACTCTGGGAGGCTGAGGCAGATGGATTACCTGAGCTCACATGTCCAGCCTGAGCCAGAGCAAGACCCCATCTCTAAAAACAGTCAGGTGTTGTGGTGGGTGCCTATAGTCCCAGCTACTTGGGAAGCTAAGGCAAGACAATCACTTAAGTCCAAGAATTTAAGGTTGCTGTGAGCTGTGACACCACAGCACTCTACCAGGGGCAACAATGTGAGACTCTGCCTCAAAAAATAAATAAATAAAAGTAAAAATAATATAAAATCATAAACAAAAACACTAAGAGCAACTTGAAAAAAAGCATTGGTAAGGCGGTGCCCATAGCTCAGTCAGCAGGGCACCAGCCATATATACCTGGGCTGGCAGGTTCGAACCCGGCCTGGGCCAACTAAAACACAATGACAACTGCAACCAAACAATAGCCAGGCATTGTGGCAGGCGCTTATAGTCCCAACTACTTGGGAGGCTAAGGCAAGAGTTTGAGGTTGCTGTGAGCTGTGACATCACAGCACTCAGACCCAGGGCGACAGCTTGAGACTCTGTCTAAAAAAACAAAAAACCACTGGTAAGTATAATCAGTATCAGATGTTTACTCTGATTGTACTTATGGTAAAATTTAGCTGTGTGTATAATTCTCTTGGGGACAGACCATAAAAAATGAAGTGTTCTCATGTGGAGAATTATTTCCTTTAATGTGGTTTTGGCATTTTTCTGTTTGTTTGTCTATTCAAGGGAATCTGAAATCGTAGAAATTCTCAGGAAGGCAGAAGATGTTGAGCGGAAGGAACACTAGAGTGCTCGCTTCGGCAGCACATGTACTAAAAATTGGAACCATACAGAGAAGATTAGCATGGCCCCTGCACAAGGATGATACGCAAATTCGTGACGCAGTCCATATTTTTATTAAAAAAAGAACACTAGATGGGACCTGAAAGCCCTGGGTTTGAGTTCTGATTCTGCGACCTGTTAGCTGTGTGAGCTTAGGTGAGTCGAGGCACCTCTCTGAGCCTCATCTGTAAAATTAGTTAGTTGAACTAGAAGGGTCCCAGGTCTCCTCCCACCAAAAGCCTTCCACAGTCAGGATACATGAATCTTCAAAGGCCCAGATCTGGAGCAGGAGCTCTCAAGCAGGACTTGAGAACCCAAGGGCTGAGGGAAGAACTCAAGAGGTGGGAGGAAAAGACAGGTGGGCAAAGCGATGGGGAGTAGGGTGCTGTGCAAGGGAAGTGATCACAGCATTCCAGGCAAGCATAACCGCAACCAGCACTATCAGCTAAGGCTTTGCACTTTACCAAACAAAAAAAAACTGGCCAGGTACAGTGGCTCACACCTATAATCCCAGTACTTTAGGAGGCTGAGATGGGAGAATTGCTTGAGGCCAGGTGTTCAAAACCAACCGGAGCAACATAGCAAGACCCCATTTCTACAGAAAATTTTAAAAAAATAAAAGTTGTGGTTTTTTTTTGAGACAGAGTCTTAAGCTGTCGCCCTGAGTAGAATGCTGACGTCACAGCTCACAGCAACCTCAATCTCTTAGGCTCAAGTGATTCTATTATCTCAGCCTCCCAAGTAGGCTCCATTGCTGTTTTACCCCCAATCACTGAGCTATGGGCGCCACCAATAAAAGGGAATATTTTAAAAGTTGTTTTTTGTTGTTGTTTTCTGATTCACTATGTCACCCTTAGTAGAGCGCTGTGGCACCACAGCTCACAGCAACCTCAAACTCTTGGGCCTAAGCAATTCTCTTGCCTTAGTCTCCCATGTAGCTGGGACTACAGGCACCTGCCACAATGCCTGGCTATTTTTTGTTGTAGTTGTCACTGTTGTTTAGCTGGCCTGGGCAGGGCTCGAACCCACCAGCCTCTGTGTATGTGGCTGGCACCATAACCATTGTACTACAGGTACTGAGCCAAAAGTTGTTTTATCTATAACAACTCACTATATCTTCACAAGTATTTGTTATGGAAAAATATGTACATATTTTGTAGATTTATTGACCATAAAATTAACAAAAATTCCCCAGGTCTTGTCTGTCAATCTTACAAATGTGAAACACTCAACTGTTTTTTTCCTCTGAAAAATGAAAAGAAAGAGAATGTGGAAACGCTCTAGATTTGGTTTTAGAGAATGATTGGTAAACATTTTAATATCAAGAATAAACATTGGTAAACATTTTAATTGGTAAACATTTTAATATCAAGAATAATTTCTTTATAATATTTCTCATGGCCAAAATTACAGTGAGGTGAATGAGGCCCTTGTCTTGGGTGCAAAATTTAAAGGGGCAACAAAAAACTCAACAGTGAAGATAAATAAGATTTAATGCAATATTTTTAAAAATAAAAATCAGTACAAAAAAACTCATGATGAACATGAGTTTATGAAAAATTTAAATACTGGGCACTGGAGCTCACACCTGTAATCCTAGCACTCGGGGAGGCTGAGGACAGTGGCTTGCTTGAACTCACGAGTTCAAGACCAGTCTGAGAAATAGCAAGACCCTATCTCTACTAAAAATAGAAAAACTGGGGCAAGAGGATGGCTTGAGCTCAAGAACCTGAAGTTGCTGTGAGCTATAATGCTGTAGCACTCTAGGCAGGGTGCCTGAGTGAGACTGTGTCTCAAAGAAAAGTATAAATAAAGACAGGATCCTAATCTCAG